TGTGAACAAAGCTTCTACCTGGCCAGATGGGGTTTTTAGTACCATGAGAAAAGATAAGGAACAGAGTCAAAGTGTTGCTGGGTATGGTGGGAGTTTGATATGCACAACTCCTCTCCCAAGCCAAGGTCAAGCAACCAGTTGGGAGGGGCGAAGGGATTGGAGGAAGTATAAGAAACATTAAAAGCCACAGAAACAGTGACCCTGAAACACAGCCTCACTTCCTACCCCTCCCATGGGGTACAAAAGAGGTGGTACAGAAGCCCCCAGACTCACAACCCTCCAAAATGGAAGATGACCATAAATTGTAAGGGGTGGGATCAGGTGAGTGCACTAGAGGTATAATTAAGCCTGCTAAGAAAGAGGAGAGGGGACAGGGTCAGGAAAACCTTTACTGGTGTACAGAGCTGTGATTGCAAAAAAGAAAAGGAGGACTTGTGGCACCTTAGAGACTAACCAATTTATTTGAGCATGAGCTTTCGTGAGCTACAGCTCAGAGCTACAGCTCACGAAAGCTCATGCTCAAATAAATTGGTTAGTCTCTAAGGTGCCACAAGTACTCCTTTTCTTTTTGCGAATACAGACTAACACGGCTGTTCCTCTGAGAGCTGTGATTGTGCTTGATTAACCCCAATAAACTTTGCATTGCCTGCACTTTGGACTCTGGCCTTCTGCTTTCTGTCTGCGTGACAAGAACCAAGAGAGTGTGAGGGGAAGCCCTAACAGGATTGCTGGGCCCTTTTGTTATGCAAATTGTAATATCAGAGGGTAGAATCTGGGGGGGCACACAGAATGAAAAGTCTAATATTTTCTGTTGAGTTGATGTTAGAGCTCTATTTTGTTATGAAATTATAAAAGGTTTTGGGACAGGGAGGGAAGCTACAGAAATATTTAAAACCCTCTGTAGTGAAAACGAATCCACTTACTGTGCCCACACCTACATCATAAAATACATTGATCGCAGTTATTTCCATAGAGTACAAACACCCTTGATTGTTCATTGTAAAGATCCCTCCTCTATTGGCACAACCAACAAGACAATCTGTTCATAACATCAGGCGAGCCTCCCAAGCAGAAAGCTGTTCATCTCTCCCCAGAGATTGCCAGGGCAGCTGATATCTATCCCTTTTAACCCTACCTAGCTCCTACTTTAACATAAGAACGGCCAGACTGGGTCAGACCAAAGGGCCATCTAGCCCAGTATGCTGTCTTCCGACAGTGGCCACTGCCAGGTGCCCCAGAGGGAATGAACAGAACAGGGAATCATCAAGTCATCCAAATCATAAAGTGATCCAATCATAAAGTGACTTTAGACACCTAAATCTCAAAATCAGGCCCCTCCTGGGTTCACAAAGCCCCTGCTCAGCTGCCCCTGAACCCTGTAGGTGCATAAAATCACTCAGCACCTAAATTTTTGCAGTAACCAATTCCCTAGGCTGCGATATTTCTGCCTCTGAGCATGTGCACTGCAACCCCATGCCAGCCCTGTTACCTGGGATCTTAAAACCCAAAGCAGCGGTGACTTAACTGTTTCACTCCAGGCGGTGTCAGGAATCAATCAATAGGAACACAGCGCTTCTGGCTGATGGAAGATTGATACAAACAAGTGTGCTCTTATCTAAAACTTTATCAATCTAAAACACAAAGCAAAATAAACTCTTCCCTGCCTTAGATAGCGGGAGGTATCAGTTAAATATTTAAGCTAAACTCATTAACTTTTACTCAGACCCATCTAGGCCTGACTCCCTGTCCCTGCACCTATGTTTTCTCCTTGGGACGGGGATCTTTAACTTTTAACTGTGCTTTGAGCACCCACTTGGGGCTCAGCAAATTCATCAGCCCTGATTTGCTTAGGACTTGCTCGGGCTGGGCACATGACCATTATTAATCTTGCCACTAAGTACATATTTCACTGAAGAATGGACAGTTTTCAGTAACACAGAAGACAATCCCACCAGGTATTCCCACTGGTGTGGGAATTCTACAGTGGTTCACAGTCATGCTGGAAGGGCATAATGCATGGGGTCCCACAGGAATCAGTTCTGGGTCCAGTTCTATTCATGTGCATGGAGATAAAGGGACTTGGTGAGTTGTGTGCTGGTCTGTTTGTCTCCGGTGGGTCATGTGGCTGGGGTTTGGGTCCCTGACCAGGCCAGGTGACAGAGGTCTCTGTACCTCTGAGAGGGCCATGTGGCTCTGACCCTTGGGCCTAGGATCAGCCCTGGTGTTTGACGTCTGAGTCGTCGATCACCGCGTTAGCCACGGGGCAGAACTAAGCAGCGAGGCACACAGTGAATAAGGTAGCTGCCGAGCAAACACTTGACCAGGCACTTGGGTGAGGCACTGAACTATTCAGTTATAACGTTATTTTAGCCCCATTCTCTAGGATATGATCGACAGACCTGCCTGGCCTGTTGGGATCTGTGTACTGTGAAGCAGTTTAACGGCACTTTTGGGTAAACACAGCAGCACAAGGTACAGTATTTCCACCCCCCAGAATCCTTTAGAAAGTGAAATCAGGATTTCCCCACAACTACTGCCCACCCCTCCAGCGGAGAACTGTATTTCAGGGTCAAACTGAATGTGGTGAATGTGGAGGATGTTTGGGTTTGGTGTGTTCTTTCCCCCCACATTGCCACTGACGTTCCTGATGGATTCTCCTACAGCTGCACCGGGGAAGTTGGAACAATGCTGAGGCCTCTGCTGATCCCCTTGACATACTTCTGTCTTCACACCTGGCTGGCAATCCCTCAGGTAAGCTCTTGAGCTTTGCCTGGGAAGCACTCTGTGTTTTCTCGTGTTTCTGCTCAAGGCTATGCAGGCAGCAACACTGCCTTAGACCCATAGATGTGTAGGGCTGGGAGGGACCGTGAGAGGTCATCCGGTGCAGCCTTGTGGGCTGAGGCAGGACCAAGTGCACCGAGACCAGCCCGGACAGGTGTTTGTCTAATCAGGGCCCCACAACCCCTTCCGCAGTGGCTGGTAGGGGAACCCCGGCCCTCCCACAAAACTGGGTTCCAGTCCAGGGACCCTCTGAGCAGCAGCCAAGGTCTGTTCCGTCCAGACTCCTTGCTGCTGCCTCCCTGGATATCTTCCTACCACAGCCCTTTTCCAGTCCGCACAGCCTCCCCCGGCTCACCCTTCGTTCAGGGCCGGGCTCGTAGGGCTCCCCTGTCGAATCCCCCAACACAATCCCAAACCAAAAGAACAAAATTAAACCAATTTCTGCCTGGCTTGGGCTTCCTCCTCACCCTGCAGCAGTCTCCCTGTTCCCCTCAGGTCTCTCCACTCTTTACTGCCGGGAGAGGGACTGCCGAGGTCTTCCCCCTCTCTGCAGCCCCTCAAACTCCAGCCCAAATGCCCGCTAGGCTTTACCAACACTGCCTCCGGCTTCCTCCTGACCTGAGGCAACTCACCTCTGGCCGCAGGCTTCACTGCCCCCAGCCTCCCAGGCCTCCTCCTGGCTCTGGGCTCTCCAGTTCTGGCTACAGGCCTCTCTCTCCTCCTTTAGCCCAAAAGGGGACATCCCCAGGCAGGTTTGACCACCACCTGTGCATAGCACCCCCACGGGTGCCACCCTATAGCCTAAAGAGCTCCTGTTAACACCTGGTTAACCAGTGTGGGGTTAAAAGAACCCACCACAACAGTGTTGCCGTCCTCCATGCACGTTCGAGGGTTGAATCCTGGATGGAACCATCCCACAGGCACCGTCAGGCCTGGAGGCAGCCCACTGAGGTAAATGGGGGTGGTTTCCAGATATTCCATTGGGAATGGATTGGGATCTCAGTCCCTCCTAGCCCCTTCCCATGCCTCTTGTTCCCCAGGCTTTGTCTTCCCAATTAATGTATCCCTTCCTGCCTTTCTTCCCAACCTCCCCCTCCCCACACTATATCTATTACACTAACAAAGTCCCCAGTACACTAAAAATGAATCTGTTATGATTACAGGGCTTGCTGGTCCTCGCGTGTGCCACCCCCACCAAAAAAAAATCATGGAGCCAACATAACATTTGCCAAGCAACACACTGAGTATTCTGCCTATATGCTCCCCCCCTTCCATCTGTCTTGTCTGTTTAGAGGTAAGCCCCTAATGGCAGAGACCATCTCTCAGTGTGTTTGTACACGGCTGAGCACAACGGGGCCCCAATCCTGGGTGTGACCTCTAGGTGCTATTGTAACACAAATGCTAATGTGACCATGTCATAAATATAAAGGGAAGGGTAAACCCCTTTAAAATCCCTCCTGGCCAGAGGAAAAATCCTCTCACCTGTAAAGGGTTAAGAAGCTAAAGGTAACCTCGCTGGCACCTGACCAAAATGACCAATGAGGAGACAAGATACTTTCAAAAGCTGGCAGGAGGGAGAGAAACAAAGGGTCTGTGTCTGTCTGTGTGTTGCTTTTGCCGGAGACAGAACAGGAATGGAGTCTTAGAACTTTTAGTAAGTAATCTAGCTAGGTATGTGTTAGATTATGATTTCTTTAAATGGCTGAGAAAAGAGCTGTGCTGAATAGAATGACTATTCCTGTCTGTGTGTCTTTTTTGTAACTTAAGGTTTTGCCTAGAGGGATTCTCTATGTTTTGAATCTAATTACCCTGTAAGGTATCTACTATCCTGATTTTACAGAGGTGATTTCTTTTTACTTCTATTAAAAGTCTTCTTTTAAGAAAACTGAATACTTTTTCATTGTTCTAAGATCCAAGGGTTTGGGTCTGTGGTCACCTATGCAAATTGGTGAGGATTTTTACCAAACCTTCCCCAGGAAGTGGGGTGCAAGGGTTGGGAGGATTCTGGGGGGGGAAAGACGTGTCCAAACCACATTTCCCAGTAAACCCAGATAAAGTTTGGTGGTGGCAGTGGAAATCCAAGGGCAAAGGGTAAAATTAATTTGTACCTTAGGGAAGTTTTAACCTAAGCTGGTAAAAGTAAGCTTAGGAGGTTTTTATGTAGGTCCCCACATCTGTACCCTAGAGTTCAGAGTGGGGAAGGAACCTTGACAGACCGTATGTTTCCTTTATTCTCCCAGGCAAAATGTCAGGTGGAGCTGAGCATGATGGATGACGCTCTTGATGACCAATATCTAGGATGTGCTGAAAAAATGGATGAAATTGCAACTGAACTGCTAGAGAACGAAACGGCCACGTCCTCGCTGTTTAGGACAGTGTGGGAAAAGTCAAAACTAAAATGGGATCTTGTAAAGAGAGAGATTTCTCTGCCCCCAGACTTTAAGGATGAGTTTGGAAGAGCCTTAGTAGCCTATACAGACAACACCACTGAAAACAGCATCATAACTTTTTCAACCATATTTAATGATGCAGTGAGTGGGACTAAGAGATCTCGAGCAGATTACATGGCCCATTTCCAGTTCAAAGCCTTTCATTATTATTTGACAAGAGCTTTGCAGCTCTTACGAGGGAGGTGTGATGTGACGTATAACATGACGCTGTACCGGGGCACTAAGTCTCAGTACAACGGATCAGGTCTCATCAGGTTTGGATACTTTGCCTCTTCATCTGTTAATAAACAAGAGGCTGAGACATTTGGCACGGACACGCTCTTCACCATCCACACGTGCTTTGGAGTGAAGATCTGGACCATCTCATACAGTCCTTCCCAAGAAGAAGTGTTAATCCCAGTCCATGAGATATTCAGTGTGTCCCTAGGAAAAGAGAACAACAACTTTGTCCTCCGGAGCACAAACCGGACCTGCAGCCATTTTAACTGTGCATACCTGGGTGGTGAGTACTGGGCTGAACACGAGAAATATTTGTGTGGGGCTTTTTGCTGTGGTGAATTTGAAAACCCCATTTCAGGGAGAGCTGATAAGAGTGATGCTGACTTGCTACCAGGGCTGGGGGAGACAGGCTGCCACGACACTTGCTGCTAGAGAGGGCTCGGGTGGGTGGACACTGGGTCCCAATCGCTCCCTGAGGAAAGAAGGTGCCTAGACATCATGGTGATGGGAGCACTAGGAAGACAGGTGAAGGCCCCAAACCACTGCGAGTCTTCAACACACACACACGCCCCGTACAGAGTCCACAGGAGCCCTGGCAGAGCAGCTGTGGCTCCTCAGACACGGCACCGCAAATCCACAGGCTGTGGAAAAGGGAACAGGCAGGTAGCCTAGTGTGCAGATGGCACATTATTTGGGGCGGTCAGGATTAGGGACGACGGTGAGGAACTTCAGAGAGATCAACCAAGTTGGGTGAACGGGCATCACAACATCAGGTGAAATTCACAGACACACATTCAAGGTAATGCACATTGTGAGGGATAATTTCACTACGTTGTTAATGAGCTGTATCAACTCAGACAGAGACTGGGACATCATTATGGAGACTTCAGTGCAAATCTCAATGAAAACCTCTGTTCAATGTGCTGCAAAGTCTATAAAGCAAACAAAACGTTAGCATGCGTCTGGAATGATGGGATGGAGAATATGAAGATTTAGTTTTTTTGTTTGTTTTTTTTTAATAGTCATGGACAAGTCACAGGCAAGAATAAAAAATTCACAGCCTCATGACCTGTCCATGACTCATACTATATACCCCAGACTAAATCTTGGATGTTCTTGGGGGCTCTGGGGCGCCCACTGGTGCTCAGGGTGGGGAGAAGGGTGCAGCCCAGGACAGTTGCTGCTTCTGCTGGTGGGGGGCGTCCCCACGTCCTGGGACCACTGCCGTGCGGGAAGCACAGTGTGGCTGGCACCAGAGCCTCCTGCGCTGCTCGGGTGGCCCTGGGGTCAGTCGCACCTAGGAGGTGTGGAATTCACAGAATCCGTGACTTCCATGACCTCTGGGACAGACTCACTGCCTTAATTATAACACTATTATATGAACCAGGAAAGAGTGCCCCATTGAGATACTAGTTTTGGTTCTGATCACATAGCTCTAAAAGATTTGTTAGTGGGGTGGAGAAAGTTCAGTGACAAGGGATGAAAGTGATCAGAGGTCTGGAGAGGTTTCTACTGGAGAGACTGGGATGATTGAGCTAAGAGAAAAGACATATAAAGAAACATGATGGAGATATACAAAATAATAAATGAGACACAGGAAATGGCAGCGTATAATTTACTACTTTCTCATAAAACAAGAATAAACTGAAGGCAACATATTTTAACTAGTAAAACTGTATGCCCTGTTATATAAAATGCAGGGTTAACTTGTGGAACTCATTGCCATAATGTTGCCATGACTCCAAAAGCTCAGTAGAATTAAAAAAAAAGTAGTAGCTATTTAGACAGTTAGGATAAACTAATTATTTTTAGAAGAGCAATAAACCCTTAGGCCTGAGGACAAAAGGCAGTCACTAACTGCCAGGGTTGGGGAAGAAATTTCCTCTGTGTATGTTATTCCCCTCCACAGTTTCTTGCAGCTTCCCAATACAGCTGGGCCTCATCTCAATCAGGGACAGGATACCAGGCTAGATCCAGTCCGACGGTTCCTATGTTTCTTTGGAAATAGTAGAATGCAGTGGAAAATTCTACCTGGGCAGATCCCATCTCATTGACCCTCTCCATTTTGTACCGTAGGAAAGAGGACCGAAACATGTGTTTACAATTCTGGTAAGAAAGAACATTTATTTTCAAAAGAATAAAAAGAAAACTCGCCCTCTGTATTGAAGTGCAGAGCACAGAGCAACCCCACCAGGCAAACATGTCACATGAAACCAATTGAGAAATAAGTGGGGTTAACTGTGTGTTCTGTCTATTTATCCAGGTTCTTGTAGGGAGCTCATGACTAGTATCTGAGTACCTTCACATCTGACTCAATTACATGCACAGTTAATTTCAGAAAATAAATGTAAGGAGAATAACCCCTTAGAGCACTAATGATTCAACTTCATTGTTCTGAACTAAAGGCTGAACACACATCCCCTCACCCAACACCACAAGTGTGTCTATCTCTCTCCTCTCATAACTAGACCCATTCTGTCCAGTGGGGCGACATCCTCCCAAAGGACGAAACAGGACCATTTTACCAGAGCTCGGAAAAATCTCAACAAAATATTTTCTCATTGGAATTTGAAAATTTGTCAAACTCTAAACCTTTTGCAGAGATGGTTTGATTTTGACACTGTTCTGTTAGAACGTTGCCTGGGTTCTGGCCAGCTCACCCGCCTGGCTCCTTGGCAGCTTGGCTGGCAGGCTGCCTAGGAGTCATTGACCCCAGGACTTCCAGTGCCCCCGACTCTGGGACAGCCTGCTTGGTGGACTGTCCCAGAGCTGATGCTCCCTTCCCTTGTGTGGAGAATTTCAAGATTTGGGGGTTTTTATTCCATGTCAGAACAAAAGCAAATTTTGAAATATCAAAATCTTCCATGAAATGGAATGACCCTTCTCTGCCCAGCTCTACATTTTCCCTAAAGCCAATTAAAAAAAGAAACAAATGGGGTTACTGGTGTCTGCAGCCAGTGTTTCATAGACTTATGTCTTCATTATTCATAACTGGTCTGGAATACACTTGTGGCAGACAAGCTCCAAATCAGAGCCTCTGGGACTGGCTTGGGTGAAACGTGCTCACTAATGATTGATACCAAAGGAACAAGCAGGCTGAGGAGGAGGAAGCAGCTGTGTCCAGCTTTAAGGATCTCTGTCTGTATGAAATAATTTCCTGTCAATTCTTTGATCCGCTTTATCCGCTTTTTCCTATTAACAGCTACCAGAAGAGGCCTGGCCTTCCGCAGTGAGCTGAGCCCTTCACTGTTTGGAGGATCCGTCATCCTGGTCCACGTTGCTGCTCTGAAGCTGTTTGCTGGTTTCTAAATTGTCCTATTTGTGTCACTCACTTCTTTCCCTCTAGCACAAATCATGGTGATGGGACTTGCCAGATCCAAAGCCATCCTGCTATTCTGCCCGCATTCCAAAGGGAAACCAGGAACATGGAGGGAGTGTCACTGGTACCTGCTTGGGCAAGATTTGATTATACATTACCGATGAGTAGATCAAAATGAAAGCTCAGTTCTATTCCAGGTGGGATTTGTTTTACAATGGTAGAGCTATAAAGTGGTACCTGTTATATAAATAATTACTTGTATTCCTGTCATGCTAGCACTTTGTACTGACTTTTGATGACTTCAGTAAAAGACTAAGGAATGAACTAAGTCAAAGTATTTTCATTACTACAGTAGATAGGTTTAGTATGTGTCTCGGCAAGGTGAATCTATAACAGGACGGTTTGTGGGGTCCCTTGTCTATATCTCTCAGTCACTTTCATATCTAATTTGCTCAGAAGATGATATTTTTAACTGGTGAAATCAAAGGTCCAATTCTGAGTTAGTTTACCCACCTGCGTGCCCACTGACTGTACTGGGATTGCATGGGGTCTAATCAGTAACATCATAGGTAGTCCTGGCCACTACCATGGCAGCTGACATATTCCAGCAAGGGGCAGGGCGTGGTATATGGATATTCTGAATAGCCAGATTGGGCCATCAGGAGGACACTGGAACTGGACACAGTTGTGATGGGATCCCTGGGGCGCAGCCTGGGACTGTGGGACCACTGTGCCCCCCTGAACTCTCTCCAGCCTGGGCTGTCTCTCACAATGACTTGCGAGTGACAAGCAGCAAACCCCTCCAGGTGCTGTGATCACTCAGCGGAGCCCCACGCCCAGCTCGACGGCATGAATGCTCCCAGAGCCATTCATGAATCACACAGAGAAGGGCACCGGACAAATCCCCCCAGCTCCCAGCCTTCTACCCCAGGAAGATACTGTCTTGCCTTGCTCAAGATGGGCAAGTGCAAATTTATTAATTGGTTCACCACCTCCACAATGGAAAGTGGACTTAGACCAGCCTTTGTCAAACCTCAGCACATTTGCCACACACTTCAGGCAAACTCACTGGTAAAGATAAACAGCTAAACAAATGTATTGACTACAAAGATAGATTTTAAGTGACTATAAGAGTTAAGCAAAAAGTCAGAGTTAGTTACCAAAAGAAAAAAGCGCACACAGTCTAAACTCTCAACCCGATTAGATTGGCAACAGCTAGACTAAACAGTTTCTCACCCAACTGGATATTGCCATCCTTAATAACATAGGCACCAACTTTCAAAAGTGGGGGGGGGTGAGGAGGGGGCTAAACCCCCAGCTCTGCACCAGGCCCCACCTCCTCTCACCCCCTTCCTCCAAGACCCTACTCTCACCCCACCTCTTTCTGCCCCTGCTCCACCCCCGGCCCACCCCTTCCTGCCCAGTTCCGCTCCCCCTCCCCCAAGCGCACCATGTCTTTGCTCCTCCCCCCTCAGAGCCTCCCGACTTCCACAAAACAGCTGATCACAGGAGGCAGGGGGGAGGTGCTGATCAGCAGGGCCCGCTAGCGGGTGGGAGGCACTGGAGGGGAAGCTGATAGGAGGGCTGCCGGCAGGTGCTCAGCACCCACTAATTTTTCCCTGTGGGTGCTCCAGCCCTGGAGAACCCACAGAGTTGGCACCAATACTTAATATACTGGTTTGTCCCTTAAAGTCCAGGCCACTTTACCAGGGGCTGGGGGGAAACCAGGCCCACCCTCTACTCCAGGTCCAAGCCCAGGGACCCTATAGATAGCAGCCAACTGTAACGTCCCTTTAAATAAACGGTCTTGCTGCTATAATTCCCTGGGCCGCTTCCCCATGGCTCCCGCACATTCTTCACCCTTATCTCAGGGCCTTGTCCTTCCAGAGTCCCAGCAACCAGCCTGGAGCACCACCCAGCTCTAGCAAGGAAACTGAAGTCCTGCTAAGCTAGCCCTGCAGCTCTTCTTATACTGACCTGCTGGGCCCTGATTGGCTGCCTCCCACACAGCCGCTCTAGGCAGCTTGGAGGACCGACCTACTGCTCTTTTCTGGGGTGGGGTGTGGCAGGGGCACAAGGCCTCCAGCAGGGGGTCTCAGGGTCTAGTCCACCCCATCAGAGTGTAACCCAGCATTTTTCAAAGTTCAGGTCACGACCCACTACTGGGTCGTGGTATTTAAGGCCCTGGGTTGCTCTGGTCAGCACCGCTGACCGGGACATTAAAAGTCCTGACGATGGTGCTGTCCAGCTAAGGCAAGCTACTGCCTACCTGCTCCGACACTGCGCTGTGCTCTGGAATCAGCCAGCAGAGGGTCTGACTTCTAGGCTGGGAGGCTACAGGACTCAATGCTTTTTTTGCCTCTGTTTTCACTAACAAGGTCAGCTCCCAGACTGCTACGCTGGGCATCACAAAATGGGGAGAGATGGACAGCCCTCTGTGGAGATAGAGGTGGTTAGGGACTATTTAGAAAAGCTGGACGTGCACAAGTCCATGGGGCCGGACGAGTTGCATCCGAGAGTGCTGAAGGAATTGGCGGCTGTGATTGCAGAGCCATTGGCCATTATCTTTGAAAACTCGTGGCGAACCGGGGAAGTCCCGGATGACTGGAAAAAGGCTAATGTAGTGCCAATCTTTAAAAAAGGGAAGAAGGAGGATCCTGGGAACTACAGGCCAGTCAGCCTCACTTCAGTCCCTGGAAAAATCATGGAGCAGGTCCTCAAAGAATCAATCCTGAAGCACTTGCATGAGAGGAAAGTGATCAGGAACAGCCAGCATGGATTCACCAAGGGAAGGTCATGCCTGACTAATCTAATCGCCTTCTATGATGAGATTACTGGTTCTGTAGATGAAGGGAAAGCAGTGGATGTATTGTTTCTTGATTTTAGCAAAGCTTTTGACACGGTCTCCCACAGTATTCTTGTCAGCAAGTTAAGGAAGTATGGGCTGGATGAATGCACTACAAGGTGGGTAGAAAGCTGGCTCGATTGTCGGGCTCAATGGGTAGTGATCAATGGCTCCATGTCTAGTTGGCAGCCGGTATCAAGTGGAGTGCCCCAAGGGTCAGTCCTGGGGCCGGTTTTGTTCAATATCTTCATAAATGATCTGGAGGATGGTGTGGATTGCACTCTCAGCAAATTTGCGGATGATACTAAACTGGGAGGAGTGGTAGATACGCTGGAGGGGAGGGATAGGATACAGAAGGACCTAGACAAATTGGAGGATTGGGCCAAAAGAAATCTGATGAGGTTCAATAAGGATAAGTGCAGGGTCCTGCACTTAGGACGGAAGAACCCAATGCACAGCTACAGACTAGGGACCGAATGGCTAGGCAGCAGTTCTGCGGAAAAGGACCTAGGGGTGACAGTGGACGAGAAGCTGGATATGAGTCAGCAGTGTGCCCTTGTTGCCAAGAAGGCCAATGGCATTTTGGGATGTATAAGTAGGGGCATAGCGAGCAGATCGAGGGACGTGATCGTTCCCCTCTATTCGACATTGGTGAGGCCTCATCTGGAGTACTGTGTCCAGTTTTGGGCCCCACACTTCAAGAAGGATGTGGATAAATTGGAGAGAGTCCAGCGAAGGGCAACAAAAATGATTAGGGGTCTGGAACACATGACTTCTGAGGAGAGGCTGAGGGAGCTGGGATTGTTTAGCCTGCAGAAGAGAAGAATGAGGGGAGATTTGATAGCTGCTTTCAACTACCTGAAAGGGGGTTCCAAAGAGGATGGCTCTAGACTGTTCTCAATGGTAGCAGATGACAGAACGAGGAGTAATGGTCTCAAGCTGCAGTGGGGGAGGTTTAGATTGGATATTAGGAAAAACTTTTTCACTAAGAGGGTGGTGAAACACTGGAATGCGTTACCTAGGGAGGTGGTAGAATCTCCTTCCTTAGAGGTTTTTAAGGTCAGGCTTGACAAAGCCCTGGCTGGGAGGATTTAACTGGGAATTGGTCCTGCTTCGAGCAGGGGGTTGGACTAGATGACCTTCTGGGGTCCCTTCCAACCGTTATATTCTATGATTCTATGACTCCGTGCACTCCCCCCATCCCGAGAACCGCCTCCGCATTCCCATTGGCAATGGGAGCTTGGAGGGTGGTGCCTGCAGGCAAGAGCCGCGGGGAGCCTCTTGTGTACCTCCACCTAGGAGCTGGACCTGCTGCTGTCAATTGTCTGCCATTGCTTTCACAGAGGGAGGGAGGGGTGCCTGACGACGTGTACCCAAAACCACCCGCAACAATGTTTTTGCCCCATCAGGCATTGGGAGCTTAACCCAGAATTCCAATGGGCAGCAGAGACTGTGGGATAGCTACCCATAGTGCACCACTCTGTAAGTTGATGCGAGCCACGGTAGTGAGGACTCACTCCACTGGCTTAATGTGCTTAGTGTGGACATACGCAATTGACTGTATAAAATCGGTTTCTAAAAATCGACTTCTATAAAATTGACCTAATTTCACAGTATAGACACACCCTAAGAAAGAACTATAGCACCAGCTAGTGGAAGACTCTATGAACACATGGAGGGACAGCTCAGTGGTTTGAGCATTGGCCTGCTAAACCCAGGGTTGTGAGTTCAGTCCTTGAGGGGGCCATTTAGGGAGCTAGGGCAAAATTGGGGATTGGTCCTGCTTTGAGCCCCCTAGGGGGTTGGACTAGATGACCTCCTGAGGTCCCTTCCAACCCTGATATTCTGTGTACGGCAGCCTTGCAAAACTACCATGAAAACTTATCAAGCCAAGCCCAAGACATTCACTTGTCCACCCTTTATCATTAAGAAACTAATGAGAACCCACTAGCCCCATCAGAAAGAAAGTTTCCTTGCCCAAGACATGAAGAATTTCTCAAGGCTGGTTAAATTCCCCAGTCCAATTGTAAGCAGGGGAATAGTCCCGCTATTGTGGGGAACTTTCCTGGTTTCTGCACTACCCCGGTGAAGTGGGCTAGCGAAAGGACCCGAGTCCTCGCTCCCACTTCCTTTACCCAGTGGCCTCCCTGCCCTTGAGGACTCCCCTTCCACTCTCCTGTCTGGCAGAGACCTCGTAACCCCAAAAAGGCTGGGCCCAGGATTCCTGGGGGGACTCGACCCCCAACTCTGCTGCGGTCACCTAGGACAGGGGCTAGAGTGTCCCCACTCCGGGATACTCTCTCTGCACTGGGCACTTCTCTGACCCACTGACCATTACATACAAGTTAAAGCAAATACAAGTTATTTAATCAACAATTAATTTTAAAAAGAATAAGGAATAATGGGAAAGGTTAAAGGAAACACATCACCCCGCTCTGTGGCAGGGAACATCACAAACAGTGTCTCTGGAACGTCAGGGCAGTTCACAGTCTGTTCCTTGTAAGTCCCAGGCCTCCTGCTCAGGCCCTGGCTGTGCTGCAGGGATGCTGTGGGTTGGACACTCGCTCTGGTGGTGGCCACACGCTCTCAGGCTCTCAGTGGTAGGACCCTTCTTCCCGGTGTCACTCCCGCCCTGTCGGGGTTACGATCCACGCCTGGCCTGCAGAGCCCCTTGGCTGAGGCGTCTCCCCGTGCTGGGCCCGCGGCCCAGGGTCCCCCTCGGTCTCCCCAGCTGCTCACCGCACCCAGCTCCGGACAGCTCCAGCCCCAGCTGCATCACTCGGTCTCTCCACTGCTGCTGGTCTGCCTCCAGCTCCCTGGGCTGCTTCTCTGGCCCCTCTGGCTCTGGTTGCTGCAGCTCTACTCCCAGGACAGGTCTGCTCTGCAGGCTGCTTCTGTGACTCTGCTCCCAGCACTGACCTGCTTCCTGGGCTGCTTCTCTGGCCCCTCTGGCTCTGGTTGCTGCTCCCAGGACAGGTCTGCTCTCTCTGGGCTGTGCCTCTGGCTTTGGGGCTGCAGCTCTGCTCCCAGGACAGGGGCTGCTCTCTCTGGATCTGGCCCAGCTCTGCTCCCCAGCTCAGCTCAGGCCCCTGCTTTCTCCTTAGCTCGGCCCCACTCTGTCTGACCCAGGTAATTCCAGCTCACACGGAGGACGGGACCTCCCTGGCCTCCTGACTCCCTGATTAGCCTGCCCGTCCTGTCATTCAGGCTGACCTAGAGCATTGGCCTCTCCCCATTGTTCCTGGAGACTATCAGTCTCAGGGTCCTGGTTTCCCATAGACCCTTCCCCTTTTAGTACTGGGAGCTAGCCAACTAAAACACCCCCACTGACTGTTAGTAAGGGGGCAACAGTCCCCTTACACAATGGAAGGAACAGTGTTGTTTAAGATAGGAAAGCCCTTGGGCCAGCAGCATAAAGTGATGGGTTTCACAGTACGAAGACAGATTGTTGGGGGATTCCAGGGAGGAGCCTTCTGAGTCCCAGCCCTGAAGTTGGGTGAACCTAGAGAGTCTGTGGGGAGAAGGACTGGAAAAGGGCTGTGGCAGGAAGAAGTCCATGAAGGCAGCAGCAAGGAGTCTGACAGGACAGACCTTGGCTGCTGGTTATAGGGTCTGTGGACTGGAACCCAGTTTAGTAGGAGGCCCTGGGTTCCCCTACCAGGCACTGGGGTAGTGGCATGGGGCCCAGAGAAGGGAATAAGGCCAACTGAGCACCCTGAGGGAAATGTACGAAGATAATGGGGCCCAGAATCGGGGCCAAAGAGGTTTTGTGAGGACATTAGACTTTTATTAGTTGGACTTTGTTATCCTGTGTGGAAGTCCTCACTCTGCGTTTGTCAGCAACACGTCAGAGACCCTTTTTATTCTCAAGCAATTGCAAAGGGGAGAGTGCGCACGGACAGGGATTCCCCCTTCCTAGGCAGGTCTCCGCCAGATAAATAGTTAGGGCAAGCATTTATACCTTTTGTTACATACAATAATGATCAACTGCTGCATCTAGAATCATAGAATATCAGGGTTGGAAGGGACCTCAGGAGGTCATCTAGTCCAACCCCCTGCTCAAAGCAGGACCAATCCCCAATTTTTGCCCCCGATCCCTAAATGACCCTCTCAAGGATTGAACTCACAACCCTGGGTTTAGCAGGCCAATGCTCAAACCACTGAGCTATCCCTCCCCCCATAAAGTTTATACATATTCCTTCCTGATATCTTACTTTTCTCAGCAGTTCCTGCTACAGTCTGCATTCCATTCTTATCTAACACAAGGTCAAAACAGCATCTCTTACAGTTTTCCCACTCGCTTCCCACTCGCCCAGGCCCTGCCTTAAAGTCTCGCGTTATTAGAGTTAGAGTTAGCCTGACTCTTGCTCTATTCCTAAGAAAACTAAGATGTCTGCGTCCAAATTCCCTTTATCCCCCCGGGACAATGGAACATTCCATCAGGTGGCACACTGCTGAGAATCCCTGCTGGAGAGGAGCCGACGGTTTATCATGAAAATGCCAAGAGATCTTTAAGTGCAGCGTAGGTGCCCAACGCAGTTAGTCGTTCGTTGGCTGGAAGCACTTGGCATTTCTCTCCAAGAATCTGGCTCTATTTTTAAAGTCTGACCCATCAACTAGATTGTGCTAATTCCAATATTCCTCGATTGTAACCCCATTGACTTGCAGTGCCGTGTCTAGGCAGGGTGAGCTCCCATGGCCAGGCTCACCAGAGTTTGTCCCTGGAGAGCTCAGACTGAGGCTGAACATCCCACCAGATTGCAGTTACCTGAAACGTTCTGCTTGTGTTTCAGCCAAGAGGACCCAACAAGATTGGGGTAGCTCTGGTAAGAACCTATTTGTTGGCGTTAATTGATTTGTGAAGCATCGTTCTCATGCATGGGAGTTCTGAGCATGCAATCCCAGGACAGTCAGTGGGCATGCAGGTGGGTAAACTAGCCCAGCATTGGGCCCCTGAGCTCTCCAGTTAGAAATATAATCTTCTGAGCAAATTTGATATGAAAGTGACTGAGAGATATAGACATGGGACCCCACAAACTGCGCTGTTACAGTTTCACCTGGTTGAGACCCAGATTAAATCTGTCAAAAGTATTCATGAAAATACTCCGACTTAGTTCATTTCTGAAAAGTCTTTTACTGAAGTCATCAAAAGTCAGTACAAAAGTACTAGCATGACAGCAATACAAGTAATTATTTATATAACAGGCACCAATTTGTAGCTTTACCATTGTAAGACAAATCCCACCTTGAATAGAACTATGAGCTTTCAATTCGATCTACTCATCGATAACGTATCATCAAAGCTTGCCCAAGCAGGTACCAGAGACACGCCCTCCATGTTTCTGGTTTCCCCTTTGGAACGCTGGCAGAATAGCAGGACGGCTTTGGATCTGGCAAATCCCATCACCATGATTTGTGTTAGAGGGAAAAAGTGAGTAACACAAATACGACAATTGAGAAACCAGCAAACCGCTTCAGAGCAGCAACATGAACCAGGATGATGGATCCTCCAAACAGTAAATGGCTCAGAACACTGGGGAAGGCGATGCCGCCTCTAGTAGCTGTTGATAGGAAAAAGCAGATCAAAGAAGTGATAGGAAATTATTTCACACTGACAGAGATCTTTAAAGCTGGACACCGGTACCCTTCCCAACAGCTACTGGAATCTGTTTATGCCAGAGGGACAACATTAATCCATTTCCCCTCTGCAGGACACCCCATCCTGGGATTTCCCTGGGACATTCACCTCACTGGTGAGATATTTCACCGGCTTCCTCCCTCCTCAGCCTGCTTGTTCCTTTGGTATCAATCATTAGTGAGCACGTTTCACCCAAGCCAGTCCCAGAGGCTCTGATTTGGAGCTTGTTGTCTGCCACCTAAGTGTATTCCAGACCAGTTATGAATAAAAGACATGAGTCTATGAAAGACTGGCTGCAGACACCAGTAACACCATTTCTGTTTTGGGCTTGTTTTTTTTTATTGGCTTTAGGGAAAATGTGGAGCTGGGCAGAGAAGAGTCATTCCATTTCATGGAGGATTTTGATATTTCAAAATTTGCTTTTGTTCTGACATGGAATAAAAAAAACCCAAATTTTGAAATTCTCCACACAAGAGAAGGGAGCATCAGCTCTGGGACAGTCCACCAAGCAGGCTGTCCCAGAGTCGGGGGCACTGGAAGTCCTGGGGTCAATGACTCTTAGGCAGCCCACCAGCCAAGCTGCCAAGGAGCCAGGCGGGTGAGCTGGCCAGAACCCAGGCAACGTTCTGACAGAACAGTGTCAAAATCAAAGTCTCTGCAAAAGGTTTAGAGTTTGACAAATTTTCAAATTCCAACGAGAAAATATTTTGTTGAGATTTTTCCGCGCTCTGGTAAAATAGTCCTGTTTCGTCCTTTGGGAGGATGTCGCCCCACTGGGGACAGAATGGGTCTAGTTATGAGAGGAGAGAGATAGAGACACACTTGTGGTGTTGGGTGAGGGGATGTGTGTTCAGCCTTTAGTTCAGAACAATGAAGTTGAATCATTAGTGCTCTAAGGGGTTATTTTCCTTACATTTATTTTCTGAAATCAACTGTGCCTGGAATTGAGTCAGACGTGAAGGTACTCAGATACGAGTCATGAGCTCCATACGAGAACCTGGATAAATGGACAGAACGTGCAGTTCACCCCACTTTTTTCTCAAGTTGTTTCCCTGTGTATGACATGTTTGCCTGGTGGGGTTGGTCTTGGCCCTGCCCCTAAATACAGAGGGGAAGTTATGGTCAAATCAATGAAAACAAAATGTTTCTTTCTTACCAGAGTTGTCAACACACATTTGGTTCTTCTCTCCTACGGTACAAACAGAGAGGATCAATGAAATGTGACCTCAGGTAGAATTTTCAACTCCATTCTACTATTTCCAGAGAAACATAGTAATTGTCAGACTGGATCCCGCCAATAGGCTACATCTAGCCTGGTGTCCTGTCCCTGACTGAGGTCAGGCCCAGCTGCATCAGGTGAAGCTGTAAGAAACCCCGGAGTGGAATTACCTACGCATACAGGAAATTACTTCCCCAACCCTGGCAGTTAGTGACTGCCTTATGACCTCAGGCCTAAGGGTTTATTGCTCTTTTAAAAACAATTTTTTACCCTATGTAACATAACTGTGGAGATTCTGTCTATATAAATAGTTAATTCCCATGGGTTCATATAATGCTGTTATAATATTTTTACATTGAACAGAGGTTTTCATTGAGATTTGCACTGAACTCTCCACAATGATGGCCGGGTTTCCTTCTGAGTTGATGCAGCTCATTAACAATCCAGGGAAATTATTCCTCACAATGTGCATTACCTTGAATGTGTGTCAGTGAATTTCACCGGATCTTGTGTTGCCCATTCACCCAACTTGGTTAGATCTCTCTGAAGTTCCTCACCGTCATCCCTAGTCCTGACTGCCCTAAATAATGTGCCATCTGCACACGATGCCGCCTGACTGCTCCCTTTTCCACAGCCTGTGGATTTGCTGTGCTGTGTCTGAGGAGCCACAGCTGCTCTGCCACGGCTCTTGTGGACTCTGTACGGGACATGTGTGTGTTGAAGACTCACAGTGTTTTGGGGCCTACACCTGTCTTCCTAGTGCTCCCATTGCCAGAGTGTCATAGAATCATAGAAGATTAGGGTTGGAAGAGACCTCAGGAGGTCATTTAGTCCAAATGCTCTTGCTCAAAGCAGGACACCTGGTGTAGTGGGTGTCTAGGCATCTAGGCACCTTCTCTTTCCTAAGTGAGCGCTTGGGACCCAGTGTCCACCCTCCCCAGCCCGAGGTCCTCCCTAGCAGCAAGAGTCGTGGCAGCCTGTCTCCCCTGGTCCTGGTGGCAAGTCCCCAAGTCAGCGTCCCTCTCATCAGCTCTCCCTGAAGTGGGGTTTTCAAATTCTCCACAGCAAATAGCCCTACACAGATATTTCTCATGTTCAGCCCAGTACTCACCACCCAGGTATGCACAGTTAAAATGGCTGCAGGTCCGGTTTGTGCTCCGGAGGACAAAGCGGTTACTCCCTTGTCTTCGGGACACATTGAATATCTCATGGACTGGGATTAATACTTCTTCCTCCTCCTGAATGCATGAGAAGGCCCTGATCTCAACACCAGAGCAAGTGTGAATGGTGAGCAATGTGTCCATGCCAAATTTCTTAGCTACTCCTATATCAAAAGACGAAGAGGCAAAGTATCCAAACCTAATGTGACCTGATCCCGTGTGCTGAAGTCTGACAGAAACCCCTCGGTACACTGTCCTTTTGTACATCATATCACACCTCCCTCGTAAGAGCTGTGAAGCTCTTGTCAAATAATAATGAAAGGCTTTGAAATGGAAACTGTCCATGTAATGAGCTCGAGATGTCCCAGCCCCTCTGACTGCCGCATTCAACTCACTGTGAAAGTCATTGTCAGTGTAGGCTATAATGGCTCTTCCATGCTTATCTTTAAAGCCTATGGGCAAAGAAATCTTTTTCTTTACAAGTTCCCATTTTTTTTCTGAGTTTTCCCACACCCTGCTAAACAGTGAGGACATGGACTTTTCTTTTTCTAGCAGTCCAGGTGCAATTCCATCCATTTCTTCAGCACATGCTAGATACTGGTCATCAAAAGCGTCATCCATCATGCTCAGCTCCACCTGACATTTTGCCTGGGAGAATAAAGGAAACGTACGGTCACATTAGCATTTGTGTTACAATAGCATCTAAAGGTCCCACCCAGGATCAGGGCCCTGTTGTGCTCGGCCCAGTACAAACACACTGAAAGATGGCCTCTGCCCCAAGACAGAGGAAAGGTGGGAGAAAGGGATGGGACACACAAGCAGAATCCTCAGTGTGTTGCTTGGCAAATGTCACATTGGCGCCTCGATTGTTTTGGGAGGGAGGAGCAGGGTGGGTGTGATGCGTTTGTAGCTGCCCTGTAGTAATTGATTAATACTGTCTGTTGCCCTGGTTCCTGGGGAAAAGAAGCAGGGATGGATACAAGAGGTCTGGGAATGCAGGGGATCAGAAAATCTGTGTCAGGTTTAACAAGGAACCCTTAGTTAAGAGGGGAGAGGGAGTTGTTCAAGGGAGCCAGGCTCAAAGACAGGTCCAGCTGGGGTGCAGAGAGCCTGCCTACATTAGCCCCAGGGGATGGTAGCCCTTTAGGTAAGACTGATGTGAGTGTGGACTGTGGGTTGTTTTAAAATCCGGTTTCTCTAAACGATTTGTTCCCACAGTAAAATGAACAACACTTCTTTGGTGTCAGCAGATACAACACTGCACCCCGACTCCTGAAGGGATGAACCGCAGGGACCTGAACTCAGCCGGAGTTGCTGGGTAAGCACGATGGACACACAGGTACCTCAGCCCAGAGCCCCGTCTGAGAGTGGGAGAATCACAGGATTCCTGCCCAGGAGGGTAAAGGCACAAGGCCTGACACCCGAAGGGATGCACTCAGAGACCAGAGAACCATGTACCCATGACAGAGGTGTTTTTAGTTTACTGGGGTCTATGTTAGTGTAATAAATATATTGTGGGCAGATGTAGGGTTAGGAAGAAAGGCAGGAAGGGATACATCAATAGGAAAGACAAAGCAAGGGGAACAAGGGACATAGAAGGGAGGGCGCTAGGAGGGACTGAGATCCCAATCCACTCCCACAGGAATATCTAGAAACTACCCCCATTTACCTCAGAGGGAGTCAGTGGGTTGCCATCTCCATATGCCTGCCATGCACTGCATGCTCCAAGGCTGGCGGTGCCCGTGGGAAGGTTCCATCTAAGATCCAACCCCCGAATGCACATGGAGGACGGCAACACTGTTGTGGTGGGTTGTATAAACCCCACACTGGTTAACCAGGGCTTAACAGGAGCCTGAGCCCCTTTAGGCTGTGGGGTGGCACCTGGAGGGGTGTTAGGCACAACTGCTGATCAAACCCAGCTGGGGTGGCTGGGGATGTCCCCGCTTGGGCTAAAGGCAGAGAAAGGCTTGGAGCCAGAACTGGAGAGCCCATAGCCAGGAGAAGGCCTGGGAGGCTGGGGGCAGTGAAGCCTGCGGCCAGAGGTGAGTTGCCTCAGGTCAGGAGGAAGCCAGAGGCAGTGTTGGTAAAGCCTAGGGGTCGTTTGGACTGGAGTTTGAGGGGCTGCAGGGAGAGGGGGAAGACCTCGGCAGTCCCTCTCCTGGCAGTAAAGAGTGGAGAGACCTGAGTGGAACAGGAAGGCTCCCGCAGGGTGGGGAGGAAGCCTGAGCCAGGCAGAAATTAGTTTAATTTTGTTCTTTTGGTTTGGGATTGTGTTGGGGGATTCCACGGGGGAGCCCTGCGAGCCCAGCCCTGAAAGAAGGGTGAGCCAGGGGAGGCTGTGCGGGCTGGAAAAGGGCTGTGGTAGGAAGATGTCAAGGGAGGCAGCAGCAAGGAGTCTGACGGAACAGACCTTGGCTGCTGCTCAGAGGGTCCCTGGACTGGAACCCAGTTTTGTGGGAGGGCCGGGGTTCCCCTACCAGCCACTGCGGAAGGGGTTGTGGGGCCCTGATTAGACAAACACCTGTCCAGGCTGGTCTCAGCCCACAACCCTGCACTAGATGACCTCTCAAGATCCCTTCCAGCCCTACATGTCTGTAGGTCTAAGGCAGTGTGGGTGCCTGCATAGTCTTGAGCAGAAACACAAGAAAATACAGAGTGCTTCACTGGCAAAGCTCAAGAGTTTACCTGAGGGATTCCCAGCCAGGTGTGAAGACAGAAGTATGTCAAGGGGATCAGCAGAGGCTTCATCATGGTTCCAACATCCCTGTGCAGCTGCAGGAAAATCCATCAGGAAAATCAGTGGAGATTTGGGGGGAAAGAACACACCAAACCTAAACATCCTCCCGATTGTTTCACCGTGATCCATTGTTCCACATTCAGTAACTAGGATTTCCCAGGTGGGAATTGGTAATCTCCCAGACTGCAGCCCAGCCGTAACGGAGGTGGGTTTGATCCTGAAATACAGTTCTCAGCTGGGGGGAGGGGAGTAGTTGTGGGGAAATCCTGCTTTCTCTTCATGGTGATCACATTTCCCTAAAAGCCTTTGGGAGTTAGAAATATGATCCGTAGTGCTGCTGTGTTTACTTGTAAGTGCCGTTACACAGCACAATACACAGAAACCAGCGGTCAGGCAGGTCTGTTGATCCTAGGGAATGTGGCTAAAATAATGACATAGCTCAATATTTCAGTACCTCACCCAAGTGCCTGGTCAAGTGTTTGCTTGGCAACTACCTTATACACTCTGTGCCTCGCTGCTTAGTTCTGCCCTGTGGCTAACGGGGTGATCAATGACTCAGATGTCAAACACCAGGGCTGATCCGGTCACAATCATATGGCCCCTCTCAGAGACACAAACACAGGCCATGGTCACCTGGCCAGGTCAGGGACCCAAACCCTAGCTACATGGAGACAAACAGCAAACAGGACCAGCATGCAACTTACCAAGTCCCTTTACCTCCATGCACCAGATCTATGGCTACGCCCTGAAAAACTCCCCTGCTTGCCTCTCCTCTTTGCCTGCTGAGCCGATCCCTGGTTTAGAGGGTATGGTGGGGACTTGGGTCTTTGGGGGTTGATTTTCTGGCCAGGGAAAGGGATCCAGGCATTGGAATTTGGAGTCTGGACCCTGGGGGAGAACCAGTGACATGGGGACTAGGGAGTGGCAGTGTCTTGTTCAGGGAAAGCAGAGGTAGGGCCAGGAGTGGGAAGCAACAGGCTTGGGGTGTTTCCAGGGAAGGATGGGACTTCCACTGAACACCTGGAAATGCCATCCCTCCCCTGCCAGGTGGGTAGAAAATGAATCTGAACACATTTCATATTTCTTTTAATAACAATGGGCCAGGTGATGCATCTTCGTTTGAAATGGATCTTCCATTGTAGTTTGACACTGCCAATGTAAGCAGGGTCTGCTGACTTCTTCCCTGACAGCTAGCTGGGAGGGGAGAAACTTCTGGAGAAAACTGTATTTACATAAACACAGCTACTCTGCTTAGACACCTACTCTGCTTAGATAGAACGCTGTTGCTCAAAATTATCAACTTTGGCTAGGGTTGGGTTATAAATCAGTGGGGAAAGTAACTAAAATACATTCCTCATGGATTGTATTTTCTAAATGGACAACCTACACTAAGTTCTCAATTACTGAGGGACAATCTTCACTCATTGCTATATTTGCCTTCCACAACCGACACTCTGAATAACTTTTCATGAGTGATGTACCCAAATACTTGGATGCTAATAAACTGTATTCTTAAATTTATTCACCTTAATTTAGGTTATTGCTGATTATGCACTGTATGTATCTTACAACTTTAAAAACAAACTTTGTATTTGTGGATAATCTAAGCAGTATACCCAGATGTACAGACACTCTTTTCTTAACCTGTGACTAACATTAGCTTTAATTAAAAAAATTAAAACTGAATGCAGGGGTAGTGAAATGCTGTTACCAATATTGGTCGCATTATTGTAATACAGGGAAGCAGGACTGTGCTTACCTGTCCCAAATGAGGGGGTCATCCTCAGATGAAAGAACTTTGTTAAGCCAGGGGCTCAAACGCAGAGCCCTGTGAAAGTAAGAGGGGTGGGGACAGCTGTCCCAGCCAGGAGGTGTGCAGATTCTCCCTAGGAGTCCCCAGATTGTTTTGACCCTTTCCTTCCCACAGCTCAAAGAAAGAGCTAAATAGGCTTCATTAGGAGCCTCTTTTGTTTTTTTTTAAATGCTCAATCAGAGCAGAAATAAGTTGTGGTAGGACTGTGTTTCTGCCCAACCTGCTAAGAGCTAAAAATTACTGAGAGCTGAAATCGCTTGAGATGGGGCAGTGTCTCTGCCCAGCCTGCAGAGAGCTGAGCATCACTAAGATACTGAGGTGCAGAGGTCACAGCAGAGAGGCAGGTGGCAGCAGAATGTGACTAGCAGTTGGCTTGTGAACGAGTGGCTGGTGAGGCGGTGAGCAGAGCGAGTGGCCAGCAGGGTGGCTGGCAGAGAGGGTCAGCGAGCGAGTGCCTGAGCAGCGGAGTGAATAAGGTACCTCTATACCCCCCACTCCACCCAGGGTGGGAGGTGAACTCTGCAGATGCACCTCTGAACCCTTGGTCTGCACTGACCAAGGTCAGCAACTCTGAATGGGGTGCAGAGAAGAGTCGGGCATGGGATAGGGATTTTTGAGTTGCTGGACTTAAGAACTTGAGGGGGAAAGATCACTGCCCAACTTACTTGGGGGTGGATCTGTTGCTCATGGTTTATGTTTATGAACCCTGTTTGTGGCATTTTCCCAAATTAACACCAAGTTACTTCCCTCCTTTTATTAAAAGTTTCTTTTGTATGCTCAGACTCCGTGCTTGCCTCTCAGAGGTGCCCAGGGGTGGTGTGTAATTTTCCCAGGTTACTGGGTGGGGGCTTGCACCGGTTCTCTGTTGTATCGATAGAAAGGAACCCCTAGACAATGAACCGGGCCCTGGTTGCTGCTGGCTTTGCCTGGCAGAAGGGTTACACCAAAATATATCTGAGCTTTGACACATTTGGGGGGATACAGCCACATTCTCAGTGCTTCATGTTTTCTTTTTTAAGGCAGGATCCCCTTTTGAATGTAAGTCCAAATAAATGCCTGATTCTCAAGGAGAGAACACCACCTTTCCACTGTAAAACCCCATTTGTGTGCTTTTCTGAACCTCAGACTGATTTTTTTACACATTTCCTCTCTCTGTCTCAGCCATCTTCCTGTAGAACCAGTAATGGAGTTGCTCTCCAAAGACTCCGTTGGCTATAACTTCGCCTGGGGTTTGTAGGAGAGTTGAAGGCTCTGCAAAATACTGAATACAATTCCAGACTGTGTTACTTTTTCACACATCTTCTCTAGGGCTGACGGGAAGACACTGTAGATTTCACCAGGCCCTGCTCATACACTCTGTACCTCGGGAAAACACCCAGCACCCCCATGTTCATCCTTGTAAAATGATTGTGTGGTATCTAATGCAAAGTTTGTCATGTTGGGTGTCTTCATAAGGCTAAAGATGCACTGAGCGTTATTGTTATAGGTTATAATTTCATGTATATAGTTATGAGGCTGAAAATGTGTCCTCATGGCTTTAAACAAGCCCAGACAAAAACTTTCCAAGAGCAGAGGGGCAGTTCACACTTCATCAGGGCATGTATGGAACAAACCCAGCCCAGCCTCACAGGAACAAGGGACACTGGCCTCGGCAGCAACAAAGGATCTGTTGGACTCTCAAGTGAATCACCCCCTTCCTTTGGTCAGTTTGGGATTGCAATGAGGTAATGCTCATCTGAGTCTGAAGGGGGAGTGTGCAAAGCCAAGAGGGAAGAAAGAACATGATAAAAGGGAGAGACGTTTACCATACTCTTCCTCTCTCTTCCACCTCCATCTACAGACACCACCACCAAGCGACTGAAGTGCTAATCAAAGGGGAGAGCCTGCTTGAAGGGCAACCAGCCAGCCTGTGGTGAGAAGCATCTAAGTTTGTAAGGGCACTGAAAGTATTAAGAGCAGCTTAGAATGCGTTTTGCTTTTATTTCATTTGAACAAATCCAAACTGTTGTGCTTTGACTTATAATCACTTAAAATCTATCTTTGTAGTTAATAAATTTGTTTGTTTCTTCTACCTGAAGCAGTGCGTTCGGTTTGAAGCGTGTCAGAGACTCCCCTTGGGATAACAAGCCTGGTGCATGTCAATTTCTTTGTTAAATTGATGAACTCATATAAGCTTGCAGCTTCCTGCTGGCATAACTGGACGCTGCAAGACGGAGGTTCCTAGGGTTGGGTCTGGGAGCGGAGATATTGGCTAGTGTCATTCAGTTGCACAATCCAAACAGCTTACATGCCAGAGGCTGTGCATGAACAGCCCAGGAGTGGGGGTTCTCACAGAAGCGCAAGGTAAGTCTGGCTCCCAGAGCTGAGGATTGGAGTGACCTAGTAGATCACAAGTCCAGATAACACTAGAGGGGAGCATCACACCTGCCCCTAGAAATTCAGTAAAATATCACTAAAATGTGGATAAATGTTCCTTCTGTTACAGGATTTTCTTCCCCTTAATGTAATCTTGCCTCGGCATGGAAGCATGAAATAGGCCTTGCTAGAGCCCTAGGCGTAACTAACAGTGTGAACCAAAGGCTGTGAACCAGAGTAGGCCTGGCCTGGGCAATATAGCAACACACCAGGTATTGGCTAAAACCAAGTAAGCACAGTCCTGACTGGAGATGTTGGTACAGGACACCCAGAGTTCTCAAGTAATGGCGTGAACATATTCTGAGGAGATGGTACAGGGACATGCCGATCTGAGTAAGATAAGGATGGGATGACAGGATAATGGATGGGGATGTTTTGGTCGAATTAGCAGGTACCAGGATAAGGCCGGTAACCATCCACATCTGGAGTGAAATCTGTAACTTGTCTGTGTTAATGTATAAAAGGAGAAGCCATAGGAGGGGCACCTTTGTCCAGCTGAGGGGGCAGCGTCCCAGGCACTGACTGAGCTGGTTCATTGTCACACACATTCGTATGTTAGTGTCCCTGAAGTTACTAGTGGAAGCTAGGGCCATGCTTTGGCGACAATAAACCTGGCCGAGTGCCTTCACCACTGAACTGAGATGGTCCCTTAGTGAAACTCAGTGGGGTTTTTTGGTTGACCCTCTGCCAATACCAGGAGAAAGGGGAAGAGCGGAGAAGAAATTAGGATCCTGAGGCTGACAGTCCCCAGGGCCAATGGGAGAGGCCAATGCTCCAGGTCAGCCTGATTGACAGGGCAGGCAGGCCAATGAGGGACTCAGGAGCCCAGGGACCGGGTGTGAGCTGGAGCTGCCAGGGACAGAGTAGGGCAGAGCTAAGGAGAGAGCTGCAGCCAGAGCTGGGCTGGGGGCAGAGCTGGGGCAGCGCAGACCAGTTGCCCCGATGAGGATCCAGGGCTTAGCTGTAGTGAGGAGCCGCGGGCCCAGAGCCAGGCTAGCGGGTGCCGGCTGTGTCACCTCTAACACTGCAGCTGAGTGCAGTGAGTGGCTGGGAGAGCCGGGGGGACGGGGGAGTGCAGGGATACATCACCCGACCAGATCCCTTGCAAGCTGCACTCAGCAGGGAAACACGAACCCGACAGGGGAGCCGATGCTGGGGAGAAGGGTCCTGCCACCTAGACTCTGTGGGCGTGTGGCCACTGCCAGAGCAGGGGTCTGACCTGCACACCCAGGGCCTGGGAGGGAGGCCTGGGATGTGTGAAGAACAGACTGTGAACTTCCCTTATGTCCCAGAGACGCTGTTTGTGGTTTCCCCATGCCTACAGGGTGGGTTCCTTGTTTCACCTTTCCCATTTTCCCTTATTTCTCTTGCTGCTGCTGTTTATTAAATTGTATGTAGTTTGAACTGAATGCAGTGCTCAATGGGTACGGGAGACAGCACCCCGGAGCGGGGCCACCCTAGCTCCTGTCCTAAGTGACCACCACAAGATGGGGGGGTTACTTCCCCCAGGAGTCCTGGGCCCAGCCTTGTTGGGGTTATGAGGACTCTGCCACACAGGAGAGTGGAAGAGGAGTCCCTGAGGTCAGGCAGGCCTCTGGGTAAAGGGAGCTGGGGTGGGGACTTATCCTTTCGCCAACCGATTCCAGGGGTAGTGCAGAAGCCAGGAAAGTTCCCCACAATAGCGGGAACATTCCCCAGTTTACATTTGCACGCATGGGTATGTCTGGAGAGGAGTTTTGAAGTCCTAATTTCAGTGGGGTTAAGGTCAGCCATGTGTATGGCGGGAGGGGATGTAGCGGTGGCCCTGACCAGCTACATCAGTGTAAAAACTACAGAGCCCCTGACAGAGGAAAATAACAGATATAAATCTGTCCTGGTAAAAAGATGTGGGACGGCTCTCAGTGATTTTGCTCCAAAGTGAGCCAGCTCTTACTCTGGTTGTGAGAGGGCTCAGTGGGGTGGGGATCCAGATGCAGCTGGTTGGGGCCTGGTGGGGTAGGTAGATCCAGGTTTAGGTGGCTCGTTGAGAGGGTCTATAAAGAAATCTATGGCGGAGAGTCCGCAAAAATTCAGGGTAGTTGTGTCAGTAGAGGATGGATCTTTACAACAAATAATCAGGGATGTTTGCACTCTACGGAAACAGTTGTGGTCAATGTCTTTTATGATGTACATGTGAGAAAATAAGCAGATTTTTTTTGTTTTCACTGCAGAGGGTTTTAAAACATTTCCGTAGTTTCCCCATCCCAAAAGCTTTTATAATTTTATAACAAGTTAAAGCTCTAAAATCAACTCAACAGAAAATATTGGACTTTTCAGTCTGTACACCCCCCAGATTCTACCCTCTGATATTACAATCTGCATAACAAACATGCCCAGAGCTCCCAACCCAGATTGTGGCCCCGTTGTGCTAGGGGCTGTCCATAGGGAGGCTGTGCCAATCCCCAAAATCTTACAATCTAGAGCAGACAAAGGCTGGTAGAAGAAAGCGAGGTAGAGTGACTTGCCCATTGTCACACCCAGCGGGCCAGGGGCAGAGCTGGGAGGAAAGCCTTGGTCTCCTCGCTCCAAGTCAGCTGCCTTATCCACTGGCCCACCCTCCCCCTCGGTTCCACAGGTACTGGACAGGTGTAACTGCAGGCAGATTTGTATCATCGTCTAACCTGTTGTCTAGAGATAAATGCAGCAGAAGTGTCTGTAATTAAGATAATGAAGAGTAAGGATTTAATGATGTTACTATACCTGACTTTCCCAAGTGTGTCTGAGTCCCTGGCAGGCTGCTGGCCTGAGCAAGAGATGGCTGCAGTTGTAGAACTTAATCTGCAGTGTTCATGACACAGGAAATAGTTTGACTTTATCTAAGAAATGGCCCTGCAGACTTTCACTTTCGGAACGAACGGTGTTTGCGTTTTTTTTAGGAAATAAGGGCCTGATCTAAATCCCCCTGAAGTCAATGGAAAGACTCCCATTGATTTCAAGGGGCTTTGGGTCAGGCCTGCACAAAGTCAAAACGTTACGATGAGCTAGGGCCAGGGCTCCTGAGTATTCCCAATAACACCTGTTTCCAAACGTATCCACAAAACTACCCCCATTTTATCCTCTGTGCTTCCTGTTCTAGGGTTCTTTACCTCCCTGTCCCAGATGTTAAAGCCAAGCAATTTTGCTACCTTGGCTCTACTGTTACCAGCAATGTAGATAATTAGGCTGGGCTCACTAGTACAATTGGCAAAGCAGTCAGGAACTTTGGCCTTTTGCAAGATGGAGCCTGGAACAACAACAAATTGTCAGCTAAAGTGAAAATCTGTGTTGATGAGACCTGTGCTATTTCTAGTCTTCTACATGGCACAGAATCATGCACGACTTATGCCAAACATACCAAAAGATTAAACAGTTTTTCAAATCAGATGCTTGCATAAAATTCTTCGAATAAGATGGCGAGACAGGGTGAAATGTGGAAGTGTTAAATTGTGCCGGTATGTCATTTTGGGGAATGTTGATCAGTAAGAAAAAACTCAGGTGGTCTTGGACATGTCAAGTGAATGCCGCATTACAGGATCCCAAAGAGTGTGCTTTACTCTGAAGCTCGCAGAGGGTGTAGAAAGAGAGGCAGACCACTGCACAGACTTGGGGATGCTTTCAAAGATGACTTAGCATCCTTTGGAATCTCGGTGGATGGTTGGGAAAGGAGTGCAGAATACTGCTCTGGTTGGTGCAGTCAGCTTGTAGCTGGAGCGAGGAGTTGCGAGACAGACTGGATCAAGCTTTGAGATGACTGGCGTCAGAGGAGGAAAGAATCAGCTGCTCGGATTCAGAGCCTTGCTCGTGCGTGGGTGTGCCCCACCTGTGGAAGGGACTGTCACTCATGCATCGGACTCAGCAGCCATCAAAGAACTCATCAATGCATACACCATGCTCTGTAAAGAGCCACGGTGCTATTGACTGAAAGTTTTAAAACACTGGTATTAAAAGGTTGGATTTGATTGTATTGCGTAAAAGTGCAAATGAATTGGAATTCCAGAAGGGAGCCGGTTGAGAATGAGGGGAGGGGAAAATAACCTCCCCAAAGATATAAGGAAGCTTTCTCCCTAAGTTACGGATCCGGAGAAAATGTTGAAATGGATTACAGAGCACGCCCCCCCAGCTCCAGCAGCAGCAGTTGTTACAAATAATGCCCAACCAGCAGTTGACCCAGGAACAGTGTGTCCAGTAACAGCAGCTCCTACGCCACATGGTGGCCCTTTTGTAACCTCCCACAATGACTGGGTCTTTGCTGGGGGCTGATGGATGTAGCTCTGGTGACTTCAGCCATACTGATCCAGTGAAGCTGGGTTTCAAAGATGTTCCAAAGATGGGTTCTTGAGATGTTTGAATGGGCAGTGGTAGTAATGCAGTGGCTGCCAGAACACTGGGTGGTCCTGGTGTCCCCATGTTTGACTGGAGCAGCCCAGGTCAATCATTGTAGCCTGGATCCCAAAGCAGAGCAGAATTATCCACAAATCTAAGTTGCCATTTTGGACCATTCAGTGATCTCTGAAAAGACCTTCTGCCAGCACCTCCAGGAACAGACATATCCCCTCTGAGCCCAGCCCTTGGGCGTAGCACAGAAACTGCAGGACTCCTGCTCGTGGTGTCTCAAACCAGAAGCCAGGATGGGGTCCAAGTGGCTGAAAGGGTCCTACTAGAGCAGTTTGCCCAGATGCTCCCAGCTGGGAGTAGGGGCTGCATCTTAAGGCACCGGCCTGGATGGTGTTTCGTTGCTGGGTGTGTTTCCACACTCCGTTTGTTATGTAGTTCAAGCAGCAGAGGCCCAGCCTGCAGTGCTGTGGGTCAAGTGTGTTTCTTTTGCACTGCGCGGTCCCTTTACAAAACCAGTGATGGTCTCACTAATTCCGTAAACACAGGTATATTGAGAACCCCTGGTCTAGACCTGTTCCCTTGCATTTGACTGTGTTAAACTGTGCATTATTTGATCGTGCCAGGCTTGCCAAATGATCCATATAACTCTGTGTCACTGTCTTTGTCAAATAATAATGAAAGGCTTTGAACTGGAAATGGGCCATGTAATGAGTTCGAGATGTCCCAGCCCCTCTCACTGCCTTATTCAACTCACTGTGAAAGTCATCATCAGGAAAGGCTATTATGGCTCTTCCATGCTCCTCTTTAAAACCTTTGGGGAGGGAAAGCTCGGTTTTTACCCTTTGCCATTTTTTTTTCTGATTGTCCCACACCCTGCTAAACACTGAGGCCACGGATTTTTCTTCCTTTAGCAGTCCAGGTGCAATTCCATCCATTTCTTCAGCACATCCTATATACTAGACATCAAAAGCATCATTCATCATGCTCAGTTTCACATGGCATTTTGCCTGGGAGAATAAAGGAAACATATGGTCACATTAGCATTTGTGTTACAATAGCACCTAGAGGTCACAGCCAGAATCAGGGCCCCATTGTGCCCAGCCCTGTACAAACACACTAAGAGATGGTCTCTGGCCTTAGGAGCTTACCTCTAAAGAGACAAGACAGAGGAAAGGTGGAAGAAAGGGATGGGACATATAGGTACTATCATCAGTGTGTTGCTTCGCAAATGTTATGCTGGCAGCATGATTTTTTTCGGGGGGGCGATACTCCTGAGGACCAGCGAGCCCTGTAATCATTACAGATGCATTTTTAGTTTACTGGGGACTTTGTTAGTGTCATAGATATATTGTGTGCAGATGGGGAGGAGGAGGTTAGGAAGAAAGACAGGAAGGGATACATTAATTGGGTAGACCAAGTCCGGGGAACAAGGGACATAGAAGGGAGGCAGCTAGGAGGGACTGAGATCCCAATCCACTCCCACAGGAATATCTAGAAACTACCCCCATTTACCTCAGGGGGAGTCAGTGGGTTGCCATCTCCATATGCCTGCCATGCACTGCATGCTCCAGGGCTGGCGGTGCCCGTGGGAAGGTTCCATCTAGGATCCAACCCCCGAATGCACATGGAGGACGGCAACACTGTTGTGATGGGTTATATAAACCCCACACTGGTTAACCAGGGGTTAACAGGATCCTGAGCCCCTTTAGGCTGTGGGGTGGCACCTGGAGGGGTGTAAGGCACAACTGGTGATCAAACCCAGCTGGGGTGGTTGGGGATGCCCCCCCTTGGGCTAAAGGCAGAGAGAGGCCTGTAGCCAGAACTGGAGGGCCCATAGCCAGGAGGAGGCCTAGGATGCTGGGGGCAATGAAGCCTGCAGCCAGAGGTGAGTTGCCTCGGGCCAGGAGGAAGCCGGAGGCAGTGTTGGTAAAGCCTAGCGGGCATTTGGGCTGGAGCTTGAGGGGCTGCAGGGAGAGGGGGGAAGACCTCGGCAGTTCCTCTCCTAGCAGTAAAGAGTGGAGAGACCTGAGGGAAACAGGGAGACTGCTGCACGGTGAGGAGGAAGCCCAAGCCAGGCAGAAATTGGTTTAATTTTGTTCTTTTGGTTGGGATTGTGTTGGGGGATTCCACGGGGGAGCCCTGCGAGCCCAGCCCTGAAAAAAGGGTGAGCTGAGGGAGGCTGTGCGGGCTGGAAAAGGGCTGTGGTAGGAAGATGTCAAGGGAGGCAGCAGCAAGGAGTCTGACGGAACAGACCTTGGCTGCTGGTCAGAAGGTCCCTGGACTGGAACTCAGTTCGTGGGCGGGCCGGGGTTCCCCTACCAGCCACTGCGGAAGGGGTTGTGGGGCCCTGATTAGACAAACACCTGTCCGGGCTCATCTCAGTGCACTTGGTCCTTCCTCAGCACCCACGGCTGCACTAGATGACCTCTTGAGGTTCCTTTCAGCCCTACACGTCTATGGGTCTAAGGCAGTGTGGCTGCCTGCATAGCCTTGAACAGAAGTATGTCAAGAGGATCAGCAGAGGCCTCAGCATAGTTCCAACTTCCCTGGTGCGGCTGTAGGAGAATCCATCAGGAACGTCAGTGGTGATGTGGGGGGAAAGAACACACCAGACTGAAACATCCTCCCGATTGTTTCACTGTGATCTGTTGTTCCGCATTCAGTAACTGGGATTTGTGGAAAAGCAGCATCACTTGCCCCACAACCTCAACCGTGCAGAACACAATGCCATCCACAGCCTCAGAAACAACTCTGACATCATAATCAAAAAGGCTGACAAAGGAGGTGCTGTTGTCATCATGAATAGGTCGGAATATGAACAAGAGGCTGCTCGGCAGCTCTCCAACACCACTTTCTACAAGCCATTACCCTCTGATCCCACTGAGGGTTACCAAAAGAAACTACGGCATTTGCTCAAGAAACTCCCTGAAAAAGCACAAGATCAAATCCGCACAGACACACCCCTGGAACCCTGACCTGGGATATTCTATCTACTACCCAAGATCCATAAACCTGGAAATCCTGGGCACCCCATCATCTCAGGCATTGGCACCCTGACAGCAGGATTGTCTGGCTATGTAGACTCCCTCCTCAGGCCCTACGCTACCAGCACTCCCAGCTATCTTCGAGACATCACTGACTTCCTGAGGAAACTACAATCCATCGATGATCTTCCTGATAACACCATCCTGGCCACTATGGATGTAGAAGCCCTCTACACCAACATTCCACACAAAGATGGACTACAAGCCGTCAAGAACACTATCCCCGATAATGTCACGGCTAACCTAGTGGCTGAACTTTGTGACTTTGTCCTTACCTATAAGTATTTTACATTTGGGGACAATGTATACCTTCAGATCAGCGGCACTGCTATGGGTACCCACATGGCCCCACAGTATGCCAACATTTTTATGGCTGACTTAGAACAATGCTTCCTCAGCT